TCTGTAAACGTAAAGAAGTTGTCCCGGCTACTAGGCTATCGCATGTGAGGATCCTGCAGGTGGCGGATCGTTTATAGCCTTTTCTCACAGCAGCTGGAATAATTAATTGTATCATTTTGATGGCGGATTGTAATCCAGAAAGGATTATGTGTTTATGAAAAACATGTGAATGAAGTTAAATTATATTCCAGTTATAAATGTGCTTCTGATTACAGATAGCCTGGGATTACACAAGATCTGTATTTTAAAGAAAACCAGTTCGAAGGGAACATAATTTGCTTTTTGGGTGTTAAAAGAATTTCTTAATATGAAATTCGAAGAGTATGACAATTAGATTAGACTGTGCAGAAATTGAAATCTACACGCTAATACACACTATACTCATAGTCACCAATGCTGATGTTGTTAACATTAATCATTTGATAATAAAGTATAACAATAATAATAATTTGAACGGTTTGATGTGATATGAGGTAACCGATCTTTAGATTTAATCACCATTGGTAGCGAGATTTATGGTTTTTTTCCTCAGTTGGTCAGAACAAACGTGGCAGACTTGTTACTTACTTGTTCAGATGGCAATATATGGTGACAATTCTTATTTGGGTCATATTCCAAGACGTAGGCTAGAATCTGTGATTGTAAAGTACAGTAAATATCCACACCGGTGCGGTGACTGACTGCCACACATACTCTTCAGAACATTAGATTCATCCGCGCTGGAGCCGCGCCGACTCACAACCCACGCAAGCTAGATAATTCTACACACAGCTGCAATTCCAGGTTTTCAAACAGAGATGGCGACAAAGAAGCAAAACTTACGGACTGTAGCTTTAAGCACACAATCTGTACCTAAATATTTATTTATACTGGGAAAACTATAAATATCATCCTGTCTGTTTTTTAAAGACCATATTTAATCCCAAAAATCAAAAGCAAATATTAAAAATATATTACATGAAAAAAAAAAAAAATGTTGTAACATTAAGAATATTTTGCATTATGACATTGTTTTTTTTTTATTAAGCACACTCTGTACCTAAATATTTATTGTTTATACTGTGAAAACTATAAATATCATCCTGTCTGTTTTTTAAAGACTGTACAAAGAAAGTCCTTTATAAATTAATTTATAATGAAATATAAAAATATATTATGAAAATAGTGTCACAATGCAAATATATATTAATGTAAAAATTCTAAATATAAAAAAATGCATTATCAATTAAAAAGTCTGTCAGTAGAATACAAGTCTAATCGGCCTATGTTCTGGTCTCCAGGTGTCACGCTGCCCTCTCTGAGCTCAGCCGTCTACTTCTTTGTGTTTTTGGGGCTGTGCACGTGGTGGTCGCTCTGCAAGACCTTTGACAAGCTCCTCTTCAGCTGTCTGTGTGTCCTCATGGCCATCTTCAGTGCTGGTCATCTCACCATACTTTATTCCAACCAGTTCCAGTTCCTGCAGGAGGCCATCAGCCTCAACGACAGCTACACCAGGTCAGAGACGAGCAATATCTATAACAGCGACCTGCATCATATTTGCAGGATGAAATACAGTTTGTGTTTCTTATTAACTGGGGCTGATAATAGTGTCTGTTTTGCTGGAGCACGTCACACTTTCTCACAAAATATGATGCATTTCGTAGCATTTTTGCTTTCGACAAGCATTTGTTAGCTTTGTATTCTTCCTTAATCAGCAGAAAAACTCCCAAACGTGATTCCTGTCTGAATCTGAGCCACATTACAGCTATCTTCAATTCTCAGCCCATTTTGACATGTACTGTATGACATTATTTTACATCTAATCCTGATTTCAAGGTTAGAATTATGGCCAGTGACAGAAGAAAATGCAAACATGGTGTAGATGTTACTACATCCAAAGAGCAACAGATTTTGTAAAACAAAAACAAAAACAAGATTCACTGTTTTGGATCACTGCATTTAATTTGAGAATGTACATACCATAGACTGTATAAATACAGAATATGTACAGAATGCGATAGAGTAAACAGTTACTAGTGCGTGCAGCAGCAACAACAGCTTCCCCTGGGTCCTAATGCCATCTGGTAAGGTGTTTTATTTAGTATGTTTTGATTTAAAGGTCAGAAGCTAGAGCTTACATGAATAAAAATCACAAACGTGACATATGATATATATATATATATTTTTTTTTTTTTTTTACGGATTAGTATGAATACTTAAATACATGGAGCTCTAAAAGATTTTCAAAATTCTTTTGTATGGAGCCCCGCACATGGCATGCAGACAAAAAAAATAGTAGGCTAAATCGTGTGCACGATTTTCCATTTCGTTCCCTCGATTTATAAATTGTGCGCACGATTTACTATTTCGTTCCCTCGATTTGCTAAGTCGTGCACACAATTTATAAATCGAGGGAACGAATTAGTAATCGTGGGCACATTTTAGTACATCGAGGGAACGAATTAGTAAATCGTGCGCACGATTTATTTATTTTTTCTTGCATGTCATGTGCGGGGCTCCGTACTTTTGCTTTAGAATCTAAATCTTTAAATAAAATGTTAAGGTTATCACTGCATCTGTCTGAAAAAAAGCAATGACTGATTTATAGTTATTTTCAAATTATAAAATAACTTCATTATTGTTTATTTAATTCTAACAAGTAGGTTTTTGTTAAAAACTAAGCAAAATGAAAAATAACTTGTTTTATAATCACAGGAGAGAGAAAGGAAATATATCGGTATCGGATATCGGCCAAAATAAGATGAAAAATATCGGATATCGGCAAAAATCCAATATTGTGCATCCCTACACACACACACACACACACATATATATATATATATGTCCACAAACGAGCTGCAGACGAACCGTAGAGTCACATGCAAATCAAGTAAAAAGAGCATAATAAATATAGCATCATTAATGCATTTCAGCCAAATGCTGTTTATGTACAGTATACTGTATGCCAAAGGAATGACTCATTCATTGTTTTACATTAGATCCAGCATTTTTATGATGTGATTAACAAGACATTTTTGTGTCATATGATTAATCCAATACTGTTGAATTAAAAAAAAACTTACCCAAATATTTAAATTGTAAAAGCAAAAAATGAGATCATATAGAACTTATTTTATATTTCATACACATTTAAATAATATTTCTGTGAAGAAATATCTGTCTCATATTTCATTTCAATAATCAAAAGCAAAGTATATTTTACATTTAAAAAAATATATATTTTTGTAAGATTAAGATTTATTTGCATTATGACATTAATTTTATGTAAATTGGCACACCTCTAACTAGTCATCATAAAAAAAAACTCATTATTTATACTGTAATAAAAAGTCTTTAAATGCAGTGCTAATTAGAGATCGACCGATATATCGATTTACCGATATTTTTCCCGATATTTAAGCATTTTACAATAATCGAATATCGGTTTTGTAATATCGGATTCACCGATAAACGCCGCCATCTTGTGAATGTTTTGAGAATTGTGCGCAGGATCACCATTGCAGCGCATCTGAGGGGAATCAAGACAACAACAACAGCGTGCACGTGTACTTACTGTACTGTGGTTCTGCATATCGGTTATCGGGCACATAAACATGCAAATAATTGGTATCGGTATCGGTTATAAAATATCAATATCGGTTGATCACTAGTGTTAATGTACTTTCTAATTTGAATAAAATATCATTAAATACAATAAATATATAATGAAAATAATGTCACAATGCAAAAAAAAAAAAGTAAGGATTTAAAATATTTTAAGAAAATTTGCAACAGTGGAAAAGACTGTCAGTAGAATACAAGCCTAAAAATTATATAATTTTGAACTTGTCGCAATGCATTCTGGCATTGCCTTCACCATTACAGATAGATGCTGTATGCTTCCTAATTTCGCCATGATATATAATTATGCTGCCTTTTAGAGCAGTTTTTTGCATTGGGATCAGCCTTAAAATGCTGCAGCAAACGGACCTGTGATGTGTATTTTAGCACTAGTTGTCCTTCACCTCATATTTCCATATTTTCCGTATTCTCAGATCTGCTCAGGCTTGGGCTGTGTTATGATCTGCAGGTGCTGATGGACTGATTCGGCACCTGTTCCTGCTCCGTCTCTCATGCCCTTGATGCTCTTCATGAGTATCGATTCCACCGACTGCGTTTGCTCCGGCTGTGAGGCCATTAGGTCTATGTTTAGTAGAGCAGCCTTGTTTGAACTTCATTGCAGCCTGTTCTTTTGGCAGTAAATGCGCTTAATATGCTGTTTTATTTACAACTGTGAAAAATCATTGGAGATTATTGGAGTTTGTTTTACAAGAAAAAACTATTTAATTCTTTCTATTTCAAAATGTCATGTTTAATTAATTGTTCACTTGCTGTCGTAAACTGAAATTTCCTAGCAATTTCCGAGTGAAAATTGTTTCATTTTTTTTAATGTGAAATAATCAGATCAATAGAAAACAAACTAATCATGTAAAATCTAGATGGTTTTATAAATATGAGGAACGTTAGCGGAGTAATTCACCCACAAATCAATCATTATTTACTGACTTTTCACAGAAGAAAGTAAGTCTGGAGTGTTCCTTACTTGTTACTCTTGAGTGATTTCAAATGAATTCAGTGTTGAAAGGTTTGCCTTTCATTGTGTTTGCGGTTGTGATCTCAAGGTTAATTAAGACGACTGAAACTCAAGTTAGAAGAGCATTATGGTCAGAGAAACTCATCAAACTCAAACTAACACTTACTTACACTGCAAAAAGTGATGCTCTTCCTCAGTATGTTGTCTTGTTTTCCAGTACAAATATCTACATTCTTAAATCAAGAGTGAAATTAAACAAGATATTAAGACTTGTTTCCTGAAAGAAAAAGCACGGGGAAAGAAAAATAATCTTGTTTTTCCTTTAAATTATGTTGATTTTTCTGATCCTATTGGCAGACATTTTTCTTGTTTTAAGCAAAAACTCACTTGTTTTTCCAGAAAACAAGACATACAACAACAAAGTCATTTTGCCTCCCAAATAAATGTATCTTGATTTTTTCTCAATTTTATTTAATGCATCAACATTTTTTTATTTAATGCTAAATGAATCTTGATTTAAGAACGCTTAGATAAAAATACTGATTTATTTATTTTGCAGTATATCAGCCTGTTTACTTCTTTCCCTTGGATTCGTAAATAGAAATTCAGTACCACAATCCCACTCTTTTGTGCTGGTCTTTCTCGTTTTTTCTTTGTGAAAGCAGTTTTGGCGTGAACAGTAGAAATAGCTGCTGTTGTGGTGTTAATGGTGATCTGGTTGGAAAAGACTGTGGCCTAATTGTAGTTGATGAAAGAGTCGCCTTGATCTGCATGACTGTTAAGTGACAGTGTTGACAGCCAGTGCTTTCTACATCACTTCCTGTTCTTCCCGTCACATGGGCCATGGTCATGTGATCATTTCTGTCCCAGTCACAGCAACAGTAGGGAGCAGAATAAAAATGATATAATTAAAGCAAAATGACCTGGTTTACTTTCTTTCTCCACAGTTTGTTTGGCATCTCCTCCATCGTTCGAACCGACTGCTCCTCAACCTGGAAGCTTGCTGTCAACAGTGGCCTGAACTGGCACCATTTTGTCAATCCCATCATGCTCTTGGTCCTGTACTACACACTGGCCACCTTGATCCGTCTGTGGCTGCAAGATCCCATGATCATGGTGAGCCTAATGCCACTTGAAGTGAAAAAGTGCTAATATTTTATGTTGTATTTTATGTATTATTTGAATGTACACACTGCCAAAAAAATATTATTTTAATGAGATTTTCCAGTTAAAAATATCCAAATATCTATTAAACAATATATTTTAAATTAATTCCATTGGCAAAAAGATTTTTCTTGTTTTTAAGCATAAACTTCACTAAATTTGATGAATGGATACAAGAAAATCCAGTGGAGAAAAAATGGTTTAAAAATAAATTTACTTTGAAAGGAAGTATTTTTTTTTTGTATTTTACACAAAACACTGTGTTTTTATCATTGATGTCAAGCTTGTCTCAATTTAATGCATTTTTCATGCATTTTAATACAAAGAAATTAATTTAGGGATTTTACAAAAGGCAAACAAAATATTGAGGACAGAGGGACAAACATATATAATGATTTATTGACCAATTAACATTCAGTCTAAAAAAAGCATTTTTAGTAAAAAGCAAGATCAATTTTGATTAAAATAAAGAAAAATGAAGATCAATTTTGATTAAAATAAAGAAAAATGCAATATTTCTTAATAAATAAATGTTAATATTCCTTAATTAATATTAGTCAACTGTGTGTATAATATGCTTTACTTCAACTATTATTAAACTAAAACTAAAATGATTTTTGTTACTTTAAATAAAATAAATGTTAACTTTATATAAAATGTAAATAAAATAAAATATGAAAAATGTTTTTTCAGTTTGTTAAATAAACCGTTTTTAAAATAAAAATTTATAAACTATGTAGACTTTTAAAAAACTAAAAATGAATAAAAAGGACAATAACTCACAAGAAAATTTCTAAAACGTACACTTAAATTAAAGTGAAAACAAAATAAAAAAAATTCAAAATATTAAAGAAATCATGGATATATAATAGTATATGAATGATACTAAAATAACACTGATATGAAGATGTATATGATAGGCACATAACAATGTTCAATGTTGGTTTGATCTCTGTCACCTTTTCCCCATCTGTCCACATGCTGTCATGCGCTTCACAGCTTTATAGAGCGGTCAATAACTCACATGTATGAGCTTATTGATTCACATGCCTCTAGGTTTGATCACAGCATGATTTCACGATTTTGTTGTTGGCGTTAATCTAAGTGATGAGAATAACCGGTGACGTGACTTCGCAGAGAGATCGATGATGAATCATAAACGCTGTTACGCCTTCATCCAATTAAATGATTAGTTCATTGTTGTTGTTTTCATCTCATGACTCCATTAAGCGTGTTTATCATCTTCAGAGTTTTCATTCGTAAGCTGCTCCGCGATACATGTTTTAATTTCATTCACACTACTCACCGAATATGTTTCTGTGTTTATTGATTTTTCTCCCGCAGGAGAGTGAGAAAGAGGAGATTAACGAGGAAAATGAGACCGCTGGAAACCGCTTCGTTCACACGTCGATCGGGAAGCGGCTGCTCTGGTGGAAAGCGCATCAGAAAACTGAGGAAAGAAATGTGGGGGAACAAAGAGCATTTTTAAAGCTTAAATTAAGAAAATGTCTCACAATGCTAAACTTTATCTTAATCCAGTAAAGTTTAGAGTAATGCATGTAATGAGGTCATAGACTAGTGGAACAAAAACATTCAAAATAAACTTTTAAGTGTTTATTTTATTGCACTTTATCTATTTGGGTCTGTAGATTTGAGTTTTAATACATATATTCAAGTGAAGTTTTTATCTCCACTTCAGCAGCACTCATAATTTGAAGGTTTTTTTCTGAGGGGTTTGTTTATATATCATTTGCACTGATTTATATAACATTTTATTCCTAAAACATGGTGAATTTTTTTTCTGCCTGTTGACAGTATTTTCTGATTTATTTAGTGATAAAAAGAGAAATCCAAAAGCCCTTTACACTCTAAAAATGCTGGGTTAAATACAACTCAGCGCTGGGTAAAATATGGACAAACCCAGCGATTGGGTTGTTTTCAACCAACAGTTCTGGGCAGTAACCCAACCGCTGGGTCAAAACAACCCAGTCGCTGGGTTTATCCATATTTTACCCAGCGTTGGGTTGTATTTAACCCAGCATTTTTTAGAATGTATACACTCTTAAAAATGCTGGGTTAAAAGCAACAATTTCTGGGTTATTTGGCAACCCAGCGCTGGGTAAATATTGGACAGAACACATGCTGGGTTATTTTAACCCAGCTTGTTGGGGTTTATACATTAACCCATTTGCTGGGTTGTTTTTTGACATTGTGCTGGGTCAGTCAACCTATTGAAGGTTTTTCATTTTAATAATGAAAATGCATTCTAATAACTGTTTTATATATAGGACAAAAACAGTTCATATACAATTTTTTTTTCATTCAATATCAAGTCAGTCTTTTACAATCATAAAAATTTCAAAAACATTCAGTAAAGGGTTTAGGATGTGACAAGAGCAGCCAATAGGAATCTGCAGGAAGAAAACTGCTATCAGTTGGCTGTTCCAGTTCATTAAATGACTTAAGGTGCGTTCACGCCATATCGTAATTACCGTGATTACGAGATACCAACTTTTTTTTAAAAATTCACGTCCTCATAGAAATCGGAATTACAACTTATGAACTAGGAGTTTTCTGAGAGCTACAACTTGTAACACCTGAGCACCTCAGATTCATTAGGCGCTGTGTTTAGTTATTGATAGTGCGATATTTCCGAGTCCAAGGGTGTGAACAGCTCCAAGTAGAACGTCACGTGTTGTCATCTCGAAATTACAGTAATTACGACATGGCGTGAATGCAGCATATATTTTATCTTATATTCACGTTTGAAAAGTTACATCAAAAACCGCTTTATCTCGTGCCATCTTTTCAACCCTTCAAAAGCAAAGCGCGACCACAGTGGCAACAATGACGCACTAGATCAATAGCACCCCTGTTGTCTTCTTCTTTGATCTCTAGCTGGCGCTTGGTTTGGATCGTTTCCTCAAACCATACGCTGCTGTGGGTGCTAATGGTTGCCGGATTTCATGTACAAGACGTTTCCATCCATGGGGTTTCATGGCCATGGACCTGGCCTCATCGAGGTTGAGACGTTGTTTTCTCAAATCCTCTTCAACCTGTTTGATCCATATTTTCTTTGGCACTGTACGTTGGACTTTCCACTGGACAGGTCGATTTTGGAGTTTGTATGGTAACCTGCTTGTATGGTAAAATGCTAGGCCTGGGCGATAAAACGGTATCGATATTTATCGACGGTACACCTTCGATAACGATAGAAAAATTTTTCAACATAGCGCACGATATAGGCACGTGCTATGAGTGACGCAGACAGTACACACAAACACGAACACATGCTGAAATGAGTGCTGTGCTGCCTGTGATGAGGAGATTGTGAATAAAGAATGAATATTAGTCGAATTTAAAATAAACATTTGCATTTGAATGTTAGAAGTGCATCAGGGAGCGTCATCAGTGGCGCGTGAGATGCGGTGATAATGATGTAAGTGACGTTGTTGCATTTTAATGTTTT